GGCTTGTTTTACAACGTCGTTGCCAAGCGACGAAAACCCAACCCCGATAGCAAATACCGGGGGGGGCGGCTTGTTTTACAACGTCGTTGCCAAGCGACGAAAACCCAACCCCGATGGCAAACACCGGGGGGGATGTGGGGGGGGGGTGTAATCTCATGGATACGCATGCCGTAGTCGTTAGATCATTGACCTCGCACCCCTTCAATGGGGGGAGGCGGTGCCTAGTGGTTTGATGTATTATTAGTTCTTGTGTGGGTCGGAAGAAGTTGGATGGACGATGTGCCCATCAGCGCCGAGGGCACCGCAACACGCCGTTTTCGTAGTCCTGGAATCTCGTCGAAAAATCGTTCAACAGACAAACAGCACAACTTCCCGTACAGTACCAAAGATCATAAGTGAATGGATGCGTGTGCTTTGTTCATGTTTTTGGGTAGTTGTTAATTTCAGTCATATGATGGTGACCCACCCTAACAAAAAAGGGAGTCCACAGGGCTGTCCTCGGAATTGTTGCCGTCAACCGCGGCAACGCGTTGAATCCATCATGAAAGACTTACGAGTGGGTACCAAACAATGGCAATTGTCCGACTTCAGCCAATAGGAGAAAAGAGACACAGCTTTAGTCGGCACCGTTCCCGGGCCCACTTCTGTCCCGCACTCTGTCCTCTTGCTTCTTGTCATCTTGCCTATCTTTCTGGTGTAGTCGTTGGCCACGAGCACCTCGCACGCCGCGTGGAACCAGTAGTGCACAACCTCCCAGAAGGTCAGGTACGGAATCTACGACAAAAAAAAAAAAAAACAGCAGTGGTAGCAAACATGGCACCGTGTTGTGTAAGTCGTAATGGCAGAAGAAGTGGTAGCATGCATACAAAGTGATAAGAGCAGGTGGGTACAAGTAGAAGTGGGAAGCATAAGGCGACGCGGACATGTTGCCACAGAAAAAAAGGTGCGTTCCTTGCCGTCATTCGTCGCCCTTTACCGTTTTACATCCAAAGCTTGTGCCCCACGTCTCCCTTTTTCCTCCATGTCTCTGTATCTCTCTCTGTTTCTGCATCTCCCTCCCTCTCTCCCTCTCCCTCTCCCCCCTCTCTCCCCCACTTTCTCCCTGTTTCTGTCTCTCACTCGCTCTCAACCACGCTTCACTCGCCGCTTCCTCCCATTCTCCTCTTCCATCCCCCTCCCCCCCCTCCCCCTCCCTGCCGACTTTCTCCTTTCCTCCCGCCCGCATGCTCACCTCCCCCGCTGCGAACAAGTGGACGCACAACGATGCAAACGACACAGGGGCCAGCTCCCTGGCAAACTCGATGTCTTCGTCCTGAGAGAGCCACATAACCACCGCCATCGCGTACAGAAACGCTGGGGCTACCAGAACTATCTGCTCGTCGCCGACGCGCGAAAGTGTAACGGGGGCGGGGGGGTCTCGTGAGAGGGGTCGGTGAATGGGTGGGGCGAGCATCAACAGCGACTGCTACCACCGCAACATTTAGCCAGCGTCCATTTCAACCAAGGAAAACACGCCGCGAAGCAATTGCTTCTTCCCCTGCCGAGACCCTCTCGCCCTAACCTTGGACGAGCTCTCCAACACCCGACCGACCTCCAAATCGCAACACAGCAGTAATATACCCAATAAATCAAGAAGAATCCCGCAGCAATGGTTACTGTAGACCAGGTGCCATGTACAGCAGGTAGGTATATCTTAAGAGTATGCGGCACTTGTCGTTCGGCGCCTTTGAAGCGAAACCATACTTGCTCGGATGCAAGCTCTGTATTTGAGGGAGGTACAACGAGAACACTTTTAGTGGCGTGGGGCAACTTCTCACCCTTTCAACAGGCACCCGACCAAACTGGGACGATTGTGTTATGGCAGCGCGTGGTCAGCCGCCTGTACAACGACGGTCCGCGTCACATATCAAGCACATTGCTGGGTGGCTCTCGACTACATCATGATGGTTGTAGCGGGACGGCGGTTCCGACAAACTCGAGCCCTTACGGCCTCTGCCAACGAAACACGCACGCATCAAGAACCAGTGTCTGAGAATTCGCTGGATACAAGTTGACAAAACTACCCAGCTCGCAACACAAAGGACGAAGAGATAAGTGGTAACATACTACCGTAAACGAAAGAAGCCACCCCACACACTCTGGCCCGATTAATTTTTCAAGGTGCGATTTGACGGTGTCGACAATCACCGCGTTGGAACCGTCCCGCCGAGAGCTTTCCACCGAACACACATCGTTTGATAAATGCATCCTCTTTTACGAGAATACAACTCCAGGGGGTGTGCTATCTGATGGCACCCACAGCACACGGGTGTAATGATCCTTGCATTCTCTAGGAGAACTTCTCGCCATGAGAACTTCTCTCATCGTATGTGGAAGAGAATAATTAGCCAGGATGTTAGCTGCTGCTCCTCGTCCTCGAAATAATAAAATCGCAGCTCTTCACCTGATCGGAACTGCTCGCACTGGGGATTACACAACTCGTGATGATGGGGATTATGTGGCACTTCTCAAGAGGTACCCCGTAAGCCATGACCTCCTCGTCTCACGGCTGAGGAGGCTCTGGGCTCGTGCACACGCTTTACCTGGGTCCCGACGGAGATGTGAGGGCTCTCGAATATGGTCCCCACCGCTGAGATCCGCCTGCTGTAGGTCATCGAGCTGTGGTTGCTGCTCTCCAGCCACCGCGTCCCCCCCGCCCCGCCCCCGGCGTTGCTGTAACCCCTGCTCGCCCTGCGTTTTTTTTGTGGGTTTGAAGCAACCAGTCGTTGTGTGCGGCAGGTGGGAGGGCGGCCAGGTTAGGCTATCGCGTAGGCACTCGTGTTTTTTGCATGCCTTCTAGCCACGCGTCCTCGAGAGGACGGAGCATTGTTCCAATAAGACCGATCATTGATGGCCAATCGTTCTTTCCTACTTTGCCAAAGGTGGCTCAAAAAGGTTGATGGGGGGGGGGGGATGCTCAAGGCAGCCAAAGGCCGACACAGCCGGCATCGCGAGCACGAACTAGGCCTATCCACCAAATAACGGGGAGGGCGTCATCGTGCCTTCTCATTCTCATCTAGCGGGCGCTCTGGATGCGGAAATTGGATCTACCAAAGTCCCTTTCTGGCGAGGGCATGGGCGTGGATAAGGTGTAGTATGACGGCTTTTGTCTCATCATTGCATGCGAAAGTCTGGTGTCTTTTAATTGGTCAGCCGGTTGGCACGGTTGTTCTACAAAACGATGCAAGGACGCAAGCACACCCGAGGCCTAATTGTTGATGGTATCTGTTGTCCGAGGGAGAGGCAAGTGCTGTGTCCGTCTGGAAACCGTTGCGTGGTCTATGTTGAAGGAAAATGCACGAAGCAAAAAGGCGAGGGCCTTCCCCCCCGCAGCGTGCCTGCCACGCCTGTCCGACGTGCCGTTGCTGGTTTCACCACAATGGAAAACCCCTCAAGCTCGTCGGGTCTATCGGGCTTAGATCCAAGAGAGCATCGCGGGGGGGGGGGAGTTATGTTCGACCCACGTCGTATGTAAACGTTGCAACAGAGGACACTACTGCTGTAACCGCTTCCGTTCCGATAAAAAAGAAATAAACGCCTCCCCTGTTACAATTTTTTTAGGCACCTTTGGCAAAGTAGGAACGAACGATTGGACATCGGTGGTCTGTCCTGTGGGAACACTGCTCCGTCGTTCTCTCGAGGACGCGCGGTCGATGGTCTAACCGCTAAGGCATGCGAAACATC